ATTTACAAGTAGAATACGTCCAATCAGATTGGAACGTCGGGTATACTACTCTAACACGTTTCTGTATACTTTCAAAGTTATAAAAGCATGACCACGCCACGCTCATCCCGCACCGACTCCGAGGTAAGTCACCTGACTCAGTTTAAGTTTTGCAAGTGCTAAATTCAGTTTAAGTATGGGGCCTAGATAACTATCCTCATGTAAGACAAATAACTCTAGAGGCAGAACTCTAGACAGAATCTTGAACAGCTAAGTCCAAGGACTCTAGACTAAGTCAGAACTCCATTTTGAGCCAGAACATATAAAGTTTAAGTATACCGGAACTCTAGCCAAGCTAGGTGTTTTCGGACCTTACTGGTTATTTTATTATCTCAAGTCTAGTATGGCTATTTCTTAATTGGCTATACTGATCAATTCAAGTATTTTTGGATCTCCAGAATGTCGCCACGCAGAGATCCTCAAGTCGTAGTCGAGCAGGACCAGGCTGTTGTGGTCAGTCAATTTCGTACCCATGATCCGCCCTGTTTCTCTGGGGAGAATGGCCCGCTAGCTGTGGCTGAGTGGATTCGTAAAATGGAGCGGATCTTTCGTATTATGGGTACTTCTGAGGCGCATAAGATGGCTTGCGCCGAACTACAGATCGAGGGTGCCGCAGGAGATTGGTGGGAGGATTACTGGCGTCTCCGCACCGAGGATGAGCGTGAGGCCACGAGATGGTCGCAGCTTAAGACGCTCATGGAGGATAAGTTCTACCCTCGCCATTTTCGTCAGAGGATGGTACGGGAGTTTTCTGCCCTCAAGCAGGGCCAGCGATCGATGGATGAATACAAACGTGAATTCGCTCGTATGAGTGTTTTCGCTCCACACCTTGTAGACTCAGAGGAAAAGAAGGCCCATCAGTTCCTCGAGGGATTAAGGAATGACATCCGACTGTTGGTGGCCAGCCATGGTTACCTTCAGTATGCCGAGACTGTTGAGCGAGCTCAGCAGGTTAAGGCGTATATCCAGCGGGATGCCATTGACCAGCCGCCAGCCAGACAGCCAGCACCACCCCAGCCAGCTTAGAAGAAAAACAAGAGAAAGTGGGACGATCGTGAGGATAAGAGGAACCGTGGACAGAGGGGCCCAGCTCAGGTGGGCCAGCCAGCTCGACAGGATCTGTCGGCCTGCGCTACTTGCGGACGTCAGCACCGCGGAGAGTGCCTAGCTGGGCAGAACATATGTTACCATTGCCGCCGCCCAG